ATATATATATATATATATATATATATATATATATATATATATATATATATATATATATATATATATATATATATCAAACCCTAGACATTTAACTATCCCCCGGGAAGCTAGATAAGTTTCTGGAAGAGTTAATGGTGGTGGTTGTTGGTTAAATGTCTCGGGTTCGGCGATATTGATACTATTTCTCTATTTTTATTTTTAAAACTGAAATAACTATGGCCAGTATAAGAGAACATATACTGCACAGTGCGTATGCAATAACAGAGGAAGGTTGAACATTAAATAACTTAATTTCTCTGAGATGATAATGTTGTTACTCATTACCTGGACTGTCATACAGACAGGGGAGTGCAACGGACAAGTGAAGTAGCAGCAACACTCACAGTAAAAGGCATTTTTGAGCTTTCCCAGCGCTCGAATGTTATGTCCAAAGCTGGGGTGTGACTCCAAAAGGATCCTGTAGTGCTTGCTGCCTTTGCACCTCCTGATATCTGTTGCTATGCAGCTGCCACACCCTTCGAGCCCAATGTGGACGGGGTTTGTGGCAGCCTAAGGTGCCTAGCAAGACCTGGGGACAGCTAGTCCCAGAAGACGAGGAGGTACTTATACCTCCTCCATAGCAGACATTGGTCTGAGACAATCCCGAGAAAGGGAGCCAAGGCCGGGCCACCACTTGGAAAAGGCCCGGGCCGGGCGATTATACCGGCGAATCTACAAAGAGCAACTTGGACTGTTGTGTTAGTTACTAGTTGTCAAAGAAACTTCTCGATAGTGTGTGTGCTTACTCAGCTATGTGTGCTTACTCACCTATGTGTGTGTGTGTGTGTGAGGCAGAGCCAGTTATGAGTCTTCAGGAAGTGCGTGAAGCAGTTGGGTATACTGAAAGGACGCAAAGTAGCTGGGACAGATTCGATTACAAATCAGATGTTAAAAGCAGGTTGGCATGTTGTTTTAAAGTAGTTGTTGTGTTTGTTCATTACATGCAACAAAGAGGGACGGTACCTAGGGATTGGCAGAGAGCATTCGTGTTTCCTTTGGATAAGGAAAAGAGAATAAAACAAAGTGTAAGAATTATAGAGGAATAAGACTGTTGAGTACACTGGGTAAAGGGTATAGCAGAGTTATTGTTGAAAGAATTAAGGATAAGACAGAAAGCAGGTTCGAAGAGAAGCAGTGAGGATACTGTTTACTTTAAGGCATGTAAGTGAGCAATACTTAAATACAGGTAAAGACATTGTTGTTGTTTTTATCGATTTAGAAAAAAGTATGTGACAGGGTGGATAGGGCAGCAATGTGGTAGATGTTGCACATGTATACAATAGAAAATGTACTGAATAGGCTCTGGTTAGGGAACAGTGGACAGTAAGGCTCTGGTTAGGGAATGTAGGATAGTTTCCCCGTGTTTGTGATGTCACTACAGATGTTTAGCATATTTATAAATTGTCATGTATAAGAAGTGAGAGTTGAGTGTTGGGGAGACGTGTGGGATTAAAGGATAACGAATTTGATACAAAGTGGGAGTTGTCACAGTTGCTTTTTGCCGATGACACGGTGCTTTTGGGAGATGC